CATTTGCTTGTTACTATATTTCTTGGTGTCTGACGTTTTGATTAAAAAAAAGATTAATTATGTTAATATAATTTTTAATTTTACAAAAAATATCTGTTTTACTCATAGCCTTCTTCTTACTTTGTTTTTTAAAAGATGTGTCATAGTATATTCATTTTTATGTGATATATTTTTCACAAAACTAAGTAGTGATAAGTGATTAAAATTACAAAATGATATAGAAATAAGCAAAACGATATAGAGTGGCACCAAAATATCCGTTGCAGTACCCAGGGAGTCGATTGTGTATCTCGAAATGAAGTGAAAATTACAAAAGCGAGCAAATTTACTAGAATATTCATAATTTAATTGGTCAATATCTAGTGAATTTGCTCACTTTTATAATTTTCACCTCATTTCAAGATACACAATCGATTATCTGATTTTGTCTCAATATTTTGAAATATTCGCGTTTTTACACACTATTAGATATTAAAGAAGCAATGAGAGATAACCTAATCTCTCTTGAGTTAAAGAAATAACATTTTGTTATTTTAACTTCCATGTGTGTCAAAATGTAAATCTATCCATTTCTACGATTAGTTCCAAGGTAACATACATATTAAAGTATGCACTTTAGTAAATAATAAACTAAATTTTTTTAAGCCAAATTTAATATATTTACATTTTCTTGAGTTAAGTTATTTAAAGCTTATAGCACACAATGCATTTTTCCCGTCGGGTCGCTTGCATTTAAATACATAAATTACTAAATATTCTACGTTCTGTGTGATACAATTCTAATAGTTTACTAAAATGCAAACAATCCAGAAGGAAAAAATGGTGATCGTGCGCTGTAAGTTTAACTTTATTGTTTCAATTAACATGTTGATAAGAGCAATGACGATCTATAAAAATTATTATAAATAATTCAAATTAAGTATAATTTGACATTGTGAATTTAAGAGTGTACGTTTGATTTTTTAAAAAAGGCAATTTCCTATACTAACTGTTATATCTAAAAAAAAAAAGATAACGTACAATCCTCGCGATTTAATAAACGCTTAAAAACGCGATGGATTCTCTCTAATTTTATACGGCATATAATGACACACTCTGCAAATAATAACCACGCGCGGATCGTGTTGCCGCCGATCCTTCTCGTCCTCGATCGACGACGCGACGCCAGGCCGCGGCCGCCTCGGCGCACTAGTGGCAATAGTGGATCACGCGATAGTGAAAGTGCACACCGAAAGGAACAAAGAAAGGTGGAAAAGAAGCGGAACGAGCGGTCGCAAGCGAGCCTCTTTAGACGGATGAAAGTTATCGGAGAAAGCCAATTGGCACCGTCGATCTCGCGAGCGCGGGCACACCGCACCTCTCGCTCGACGCATCGCGCTCGCTGCTAGCGCTGCTGCTGCAGTGCTGCACCGCTCGCACGCTCATATGCGAACATCGGGCGCGCGCACACGAAGAAAATAAGTGCACTCGCCGCACCACACAGCCCCGTGACTTTACGTAACTCCACAACTCCGCGTTCCTCTTACCGCGCGCGACCGTCCACCAGGGTCGGATCTACCGTATCCCAAGTCTCTTGATCCGTAAATCGCAAAGCTAAAAAAAACCTTTATACATATTAGGTGTTATACTTAATTTCTATCGTTTTTTCGTCTCGAAAATTGATTTGTTTCGAAGGGAAGATGAATGAATACCTTAATCAAAGTAATTTCTTCCATTTTCTACTACTTTTTCCCATCTCTCTGGCAACAGGGCAATCTCACGACGAACGTCCCACGTAGAACGCGGTGTCTTTCGAGGCGATCCATTCATCCCCCCATTTTTGGACTTCGTTGTAATTGGAGAAGTGTGTGTCCGTAAATGCGTATTGCATCGATTGGAAGAGATGATAATACGACGGTGCCAAGTCTGGAGAGTACACTGAATGCGGGAGAACTTCCCATTCAAGCTCTAGAAGTGCCCGCTTCACGCTTTTCGCGACATGTGGTCGAGTGTTATCATGCAACAAAATGATTTTGCATCGATTGTTGGTTACGGATGATCTTTTTTGCATCAATTCGTCACTCAATCGGCCTTTGGAGTAACATTTAACTGTTTCGACAACTCTAAAAGCGTTTGAG